AGTAAGAAGAGTCGCACAAACCCTCGATATTCCGCAGGCCAGGCACCCATACGTTTTCAAGACTAGTTACAATTCCCGTCACTTTCCGGTCCAGGTCAGGCACCAAAGAAAGCAGGTTTTCCATGCTTTGTAAGCTGGAAACAAGTGCCGAAAAACTTGCATCCAAAAGCGAACCACATCGAGTTATGTGTTTGCGACAAGTGGAACAACTAAAAAGCAAACTCACACTATTCGCCGTCACAGTATCCAGCTTGGTACTCAAACCAGTGCATCTTTCGTGAAACCAGCGACAGCAGATGTTACATTACATTTCACCAGTGGAGTTGGTCACTGGTTCCAAGCATCTTAAGTTACCGCATCGTGTCTCCGAGTCAGATGGTTGTAAACTGGAGGACGAGTTAGGACAGACTCCTTTAGCCATCACAAGAGGAAAGGTAGGCAAGAGATTAAGGGAAAGTAAAAGCCGGACCGGTTTGCAGAGGGCCACTACGTAGAAAAACGAAGGACTCAACCGGACTTTACCAGATGTGATTCGTTAGTACGGAGTTAGAATCCCAAAAGAAACAGGCTGGAGTGCACACGGTAAATTATTGGCCGAAGGCAATGTAGAAGCAGCAGTGCTCCGGGAGGAGAGCACCGACGCCAAGTGTGATAGTTCTCCAGGAGAAGCAACAAAAGAGCAGAGAATTCGAAAGGGACAATGGATTCGTAGGGCCGGTATCCAAGGTTATCAATAATTTGCGAACTCTTTCAGATCAGTTAAGGACCAAATAAATGGACGAAAGTTCTGGAGTGGAAAACGGGCGAGTTAGAAAAACCGCTTTCGGGGAAAGAAGTTTGCACGTCGTAGAATGGCAATCAGCGAGAAAACGGCAGGTGGTGGGTTCCAAGTGTGTTAGAATTTCCGAGCCCCGGTGGATCACAAGAATGAGTGACAGTAATATTTTCAGCTCAGTGCTATTCAAACATTGCTATCGAAGTTTTCACGAAGAAAATCTCAGTGACGAAAAAGCTTAACAGGGGAAAACGCACATAAAGAATTCCGTGTGTGTTTGGACTTTCAAGATCCTTTGAATCGCAAAAGAAAATGACAAGTCAAATTTCCAGTTCCAAGTTATCCAAACACAGTCGCCTCACAGAGCTTTTAGGATAAAAGGTCGAACGACAGATCTTGCTCTGGAAAGTCGGATTAGAATGAAAACAACCGATGATGAGCTCCGGCCCTGCCGAGCGGATGGTGAGACAGGTCTCCACAGCGTGGATTTTCGCGTAATCCAGAGAAGCCCGAAAAACCGTTGGAAGCTAATTCTCGTCAACCCAGGACAGAAGAGGATGAAAACGGACTGCGTGTATTTTTCGCCAATGTACGCAGTCTGAGAAGTAAACTTAATGAGGTACAGATGATTGCTTCAGATACTCGCCAGACCTAATGGCCCTCCCCGAAACTTGGCTGTTTACGGACATTATAGATACAGAGGTTTCTAGCCCCGGATACAGTCTCAGTCGAGCCGACCGTCTTGGAGGTAGGCCCGGTGACGGTGTCATACTTTACTGGAAGCCTTAACTCAAGGCCCATTTGGTTGCAGCTACTAGTGACGATGATGGTGAGTTTGATGCCCTTTGGTGCCATATTCATGATGGATGCAGATCCTGCACGATTGGTGTCGTCTAGTAGCAGTAGTAATCTCAACAATATAGCAACTAGACCTTGGCGAAAGCTTTGGCGAAATTCAAGTATGGCATGCGTTTCTAGGCCAGAGTCGGGAGCAGTCGTCCACCTATCCCTGGCAAGTAGTAGATTACTCAGGCACGACTGTTGCCGCCTGAAGCCGTGCTGTCAATCAGAGAGCAGCGTCTGCGACGATCGATTCCATCATTTTGGAGATGGTAGAGAGGAGGGTCATCGGTCGGTAATTGGCCGGGTCTTTACGAATACCGCCTTTGTAGACTTGTGTAATAGTCCCACCATTCCAATCACTGGGAACTTCGCCTTACAAGAAGTGGGTGAACAGCTCTGCTAGGGGTAAAACTAGAGCTGCAGCGTACACTAGCAAGAGCTTTGGGTGGGAACCATCAGCGCCAGGAGGCCGTTAGCCGGAGGGATTTGAGCTTCGCCAGGACCTTCTCCTGAGTGAACTGAACAGTCGTTTGGAAAATGAAATGAAATGTGTCAGCTTATACGCCGTAACGGCGCTTCGCTGCCGCGCGACCACCACCAGTCGCGCGCGGGCTGAGTATACCGCGAGGACGCCCACCCCTACGCGGATTCGAACCGGTGACCTTATGGCTGGAAAGCAAACGTGCCAACCACTCGGCCACCGGCCGAGTGGAAAGTTTGGAAAGTTGGGGTAAGACCGAAGAAAGTACTATCGTGGTATGCATTGATGTAACGGAGAATGTGGATGCGTACTGCTGGCACAGGACTTCTGCTACTTAGAGTCAACCCATCAGCCCAGAAAGTATGAGAGTAAGAACTCGCGAACTATTGGCTCTTCATCGCTGAAGTAACACAAGAACGGTAAGACTGCACTCCTTCCATAGAATTTACGCATGGACAGCATGGTACCGCGCGTGTGTGTTCGGCATTTTGGAGAGGTTTAGGGTATCACATTGTCTAAACGCCCTTGGCAGCTAGGAGGTAGTCGATTTGGTTTGTCTGGTATATGAGACTCCATAAAACACTCCCAAACTGCACTAAGGGGAAATGTATTGTAAAACCTGCCTCTCAATAAGGTAATCATATGTTGTAGGATGATATTCACTCAGTGCCTTGTGCTAGGTCACAAGAAAATGGATCATATTCTGAGTCAGCAGCAGGTGTGAACCATCCTGACTGATCTATGCCTCATGGATTGAAGCAAACCATCGGACACAGGTAAATGCAATATAGGAGGATATCACCGTATGCGAGCACGCATCCGACACGGTGAAGTGATAAGAATGTGAGTATGCTCATACAGGGAGCCGTCAGCTGCGAATTGAGAACAATGCCACCAGGTAAACGCGCTTAGTAATATTCATGGAGATGGAAGAAAATCAGATTGAGCAGGTCTACAACGATGGACCTACCCCATGCGAGAATGAGGCAGCCTGATCGACTGAAACGAATTATCACCTAAGAATGTGGAGACTAAGTGGAGTTGAAGTGTAGGCAAAAAGACTTTCAGGACTTTTGGTGGTCCTCCGAATAGACGAGATTTGTCTGCATCTGGTAGTTTCGCCCGAAAGCAGTATATATATATATATATATATATATATATATATATATATATATATATATATATATATATATATATAATGGTTGGCGACATCCGGTTTTGGATTTGCCTGTCAGTGGCCAGCCACAGGACGCCTACGCCCACAGAGGCACCATGGGTAGCTCCAGCTAGACCACCCACACTACCCATATCCAGTGTGAACCCGAAGGAATAAGACCGGGAGGCATGTGGATGGGAGCCACGTTTCATCAACGGAGCCGGCCCACACTCCTACACAGGCAAACACAAGCACGCTGTATTTGGGGAATCAAGCGCACACAAGGCGGTGGCTGGACCGTAGTCCGCTCCACAATGAGGGCATGGAACCACTCTTCGAGCCTAGCACGACCACAAGGACTGTGCACCCGTCTCTTCCAGCAACGACAAACTGTCTCCTAGAGCCGGTATAGACTAGGTAGCGCGTAATAGACAGGTAGGCACCTTGTCAACATGCACATCAAGCGCAGTCACACCGAGGATATTAAACAATAGCCAATCACTTGAAATGACACAATCAAGTAAAGTATATCTGTTAAAACATACGGTTATGCCGACATAACTCTTCACTAAATTAGCATATGAAGTAAGTTGGTTAGCAATGAATTCGAGATAAGTACAAAATGTCCACAAGTCAGTCAACAAAATGCCACAAACGCGATAAAGTTAACGAAGATAACCACATCTAGCGTAAGCAACATGTGCAAGTTAACAGAAGATTATTCAGGTAAGCAGAACAAACCAAATAAAGCGGAATGAAATTTATCCAGCTTAAAAAGACCAAGTTTAAGTTGGTTTAACCCAACTGAAGTGAAGAAGGATGGTAATGCAACATCAGCTACACACGCCCAGGTACATTCATATTTCAATATATACGACAATCCTACTATGCCATTGTACATTTCTTGATCACTTGTTGCAGGCATGCCTTGTTTAGTCGAGAATAATGAGGTATCCAATTTTCTTTTCGTTCAAAGTTCCCTACCCTTCATCCGGTGGTTTAAAATTGTGACTTAGTGAGCAATGCGAGCTGAAAATGATGGGGTCACCAATCGCGATGACATGTATAGAGGACAAAGAAACACGAATTAAGGAGACTACGGAGAGTGATATACGATCATCTTAGAGTAGGAAAGTATGCCGATCGCGCGGTGGATACTTGAAATGAAACGAGCGCAATTTTACAAGCTAGCTGATGGGATAAAACAGGCAGCGCATAAATCCGGAATATTGGACGAGTTGAGTGACGTAGAATTAGGGACACCACATAAATGGATTTGCCCTATTCGTCACTGGTGAGTCAGTGCATAATGGTCGTTATCATCCACTTAGCTGAGTTGATTGTGATGCTTCCAACAATCTACGACAATAGTGCACACGGGATACGACACAATGTGTCACTACTGGTGGTCCTTGGGCTCATTTCCACCGGATGTGAAAAAAATTGCGGTCGACAGCCACCCGCGTTCATGTGGACAATAGGAGAGCATTTGACCATAGTATGCACTCCAAAAAGACATAAACCGTCTGCCTCAGTATTCCCCACTTGTGTGTGACTGTGCGCGAGAACTCTCGCTGCGCCCAAACACTATGCAGGCAACGGTGGCGGTCATACACGTTCTCCTAACCTCCTCTGTACACAGTGATTTGAGTCGAGAATGAAATATCTCTAACTCAGACAAGTACAGGTAGGTATCCAAAGAAAAGGTCACCTTCCAAGTGGGTAAAAGAAAATGAATCAGAGAGTGATTATAGACGAATGATCTTTATGTACAAAGTGTAGATATAACCAGTAAAGTGGATTATTTACAACCGGCCCTATTCTTCTTCTTCTCACAACGATCTGCACGAGGTTTCTTGGTCATTTGCGAGGTGTTCTGTCCTGCATTCCACCGTTGGCGCTTTGATGATGGAGGCCTGCGGTGTTTTGGCCCTTTGTTGGCACGGGTATGCTTACCCCCCGTCCGAGGATGGAATGGTCGCTTCGGCACATCTTGTGAAGCGTAGTACATCCGGCCCAACTCCTCAGCGCTTGCAAACAAATTTGAAGTTGAAGGTCTACGGGAAGGGCGAGAAAATTTGGACATGATGAGTATGTTCATCAAGATAGTGACACACAGAGATGACACAGCCGATAACGGTGAGAAAATAATTACGGAAAGTAGTAGTTGTAAGATCTAGGAGTAGGTTGATAAGTGATTTACGGCCGTCTTCAAATGATATTGCCGGCCGCCAATCGGTATCCCTCGAAGCAGCTGACCGATAACGAGTAAAGAGCACGCGGACGATGGTTCACTTCACATTAGACTAAGGCGTTACACGGCACGGCACCCTTTGACAAGTGTCTTACACCTGTGATACGCTGGGATCACCACACATTCGTAAACCATCCGAAAGACCCCTTGATAGGTTTGATTGGCTGTACTTGTGTCGACGAAAAAGCTACTACAAGCATCATCAAAACTCGTGCGGTTTCTCAACGCTTAAGTAACAAGTTATGCAGACGGTGGCGTGTGGCCTAATTGACCGTACGGATCAAAGACATAACCGCTATGCAGTTAAAACATTGGAATTTCGGGTGTGGTTGATTGTCAATGTATGCGACATACTGCTAAGATATGACGGGAAAACCGGATGAGGAATGCAAAAACTTATCATCTGATGTTTGGTAACAGACCAACGATTATGTTATCAGAGTGCTCCCTGAATTCGATTTCTCTTCGGTGTCTCGGTTATGTAATCCACATGACTGTTAGCCCGCCGACTCGGCGCGTGTCGTTTGCCAACACGGTGCATATTTGGACGAAACCTCGAGGTGGTCAGTCAATGATTCGACAAAGGCGCTGAATCACGGGGAATGCTGATCCTCAGCAATCCAAAAATTCCAATTTATTAGAATGAATCAAGGGGGACGGAACTGTGCATATAAAAACGGTTTGTATGCCCTTTACTTCTACCGTGGCCGACAACTTCGGCTGATTTCCCCTGTACATACATGCCACTTTCAATGACCCCATGATTTAATGACTTGTTCCTGTTGAAATTATACATTCTGTTCAATACGCAGCCCAATCCGGCATACTTAGCACTTTCTTGTCATCATGTAATGTTTGAGTCTGGTGAGAATTAACGAAAAGAATTTTTAACTCAGATTCTGCCTCCCTTGAGATTCATTTTAATAAAGGCGCATGGATAAACTCACCGAAAGGCTGAGTTGGACTGGTACCGTTCACCTAGCTGGATTGCTTCTTCGAGATAAGTCCATTCCCAGCCCCCAAATATTCAATTTGCAGTGTACAACTTTGTCCGTTTTCATTTGGATCATTGTTATTAATATTAGTAAAGTTGATAAATTTAGCAACGCAATTTCGATGTACGAATCAAATCTGCTCACGTGCACTGAACTGAAGTGAATGGAAGCGGAATCAGAACCCTAGGGAGCTGTCGAAGCACAAGCAGTACGCACTACCTCGCTTTCATGACAAGCTGTCTGTCTACCGCGATTAAGGTGGTAAGGAAACTGCTAATTTCCGGTTTTGGGAAGAATGTTCATCATCATCATCATCATTATACATGTCAGCTAGAGATGGTAACACACCTCCGCTATTGTACCGCAATACATAAAGGAAATACATACATACATACAATACATAAAAGAAAAATAAATACGACAGTTGAATGCCAGCTGAGCTACCAGCAACGGATACGCATCGTTCCGGTAAGCTACGAGCCGGCTACTAGGCAAAAACAAAAAATTTAATTACGTTTTACCCTACGAAATAAGATCGTAGATGGAGGGGGAGGCTAAAGGGATGGGGTGGGACAAAGAAACTCACAGCACGAACGCCACTGAGGTCCGCTCCTTGCCATATCAGCAAGTGTATCCAGCCAAACGTGTTCACCGTCTTTTGGACCCCAACCAGGGAGCCGTGAAGCTCCAACTGAGGCCAGCTCCGAAGTGAGGGCCTTCATTCCTCTGGACCAAGTCATCGCTTGGCCACCTCTCCTCTTTTTCCACCGACATCCCCGGTGAGCAAACAAAGCACGTCGAGGGAGTCGGTGGGCTGGCATGCGCAACACGTGGCCCAGCCATCGGAGCCTGGTGCGGGAAATAACGGTGCTGAGCGGTTCATTCCCTTTTCCTAGGCCGTAAACAAGGCGTCGAACACGCTCGTTACTCAAGCGGTGTTCCCACCAGATGTGAGCCAAACTGCGGAGGCACCGATGGTCGAACGTAAGTAGCCTCTTCATGTCCGCCGATCTTAGGGGCCAGGTTTCGCAACCGTACAGTAAGGTCGAACGTACCGCTGCATTGTACACTCTACCCTTCAGGGCGAGAGTAATGTCGCGCCGGCGCCATAGGTGGCGAAGGTTAGCAAAAGCACTTCGAGCTTTCGCTATGCGGTTCGTGATCTCGTCTTCGATCCCAAGGGCGCTGATACAACTTCCCAGGTAATTGAGTTTCTGAACGACTTCTAGCTGATCCCCACCAAGGGTCAGCACAGGGGGCGAACCCTGCCAATCCTGGAGGAACGCTTTGCACTTCGGTGGTGCAAAGCAAAGCCCGAAGCGACTGACAGCCAGTGCTAATCTGTCCAGCGCGGATTGACACGTCTGGGAGCTGTCACAGATGAGGGCAATGTCGTCTGCATACTCTAAGTCAAGAAGTCGTTCTCCTGGGAGTAGCTCCACACCTTCCAAGTCATGTCCTGTAAATGCAAACTCCATGACTTCGTCAATAGCGAAGTTGAATAGGAAAGGTGACAGCGGGCATCCTTGTCTCACACCGCTGGAGATATTGAAGGGTGGCGACAGCCTGCCGTAAGCCCTCACTCTGCCCGTGCTACGCGCATATAATACTTGGATAATATTTACATATTTCTCGGGCAAACCTTTCCTGAGTAGACAATTCCAAAGGGCACATCGATCAACCGAATCGAAGGCACCTTTGATGTCGAGGAACACGACTACGGTGGGCCGCCAATATGTGTGACGGTGCTCCAACAACTGACGCAAGATGAAGATGTGGTCGATGCAGCCACGACCCCGACAAAACCCGGCTTGCTCCCCACGAATCTGGATTTCACGAGCGCCAGTCAGTCTGTGGAGAATTATGGACGCGAGTAATTTGGAGGCGATGGAGATCAGACTGATTCCTCTATGGTTGCCGCATTCCGAGCGCGAGCCGCCTTTGAAGATGGGAACAATAACGGAGCGGCTCCAGTCGGTTGGGACAATCTCCTGCTCCCACAGTTTCACTAGTAATTCATGCAAAGCATCAACAAGAGCAGAGCCTCTAAATTTGAAGAGGGCTGGAGGAAGATCATCTGGTCTCGCGGCTTTGTTCAACTTCAACAGTCCGATCTCACGTTCGACTTCTGAGCGAGAGGGTGGATCCAAAGGGACAGTCCACGGAGCGGGGCGATCAGTGACCGGCGAATCGAACAATTCTTGACGATTAAATTGCTTTTCAAAATGCTCAGCCCAACGCTCCAGACGTTTTGACAAATTGTGGATAGGCTGTCCACTGGGAAGAATGTTGAAAACAAGTATACAGGTTGCATAAAAGAATGAAATGCTCAAGGTAGGTAGTGAACGCAATTACAATGGAGACACTCGGAAGACGAGCAAGTGATCGGTAGGCCGGGAAAGGGTAGCGTCGGAGGCAGCGGTAGTGCACGTTTGCTGTCACTACTGAGATGTTAAGCTCCATAAAAGACCAATAAAGGGAGAGTTAGACAGGCAAGGTGGTAGGCAGACAGCAGCACTAGGCCTGTCAAATGAGGATTCGGAGAAAAGCGCAGGCCTATAGCCTAATCATTAATTGGAAAGCAACCAGAAACGATGACTTGAGGCAGTTGAGCAGACCTATATTTCAAGAGGGCTATCATGAAAAAAGGAGCCCGTAAATTCTGCAAATTTAGCTGCTCATGAAGGGCTTAACAAGTTCTACAAATAACTGCAACCACGAAGAGCAGCGCCCAGTAAGAGTGAAAATGACAACCCAGCGTAGAATACTAACAGGTAATTAACAGATGATGAGTTAATGAATATCATGTGTTCGTCATCCTGAGGTCCCGTGATACCAAAATCACTTTCTGCGAGTCAGCATTTCACGGGAAAATCCTATTCCGCAAACTGAAAGGAGGGGAGTGAAAAAACCGGACACAGGCGGCAGGTGGAAACGGCAATCGTGACCAGGTTGAAAGTGAACGAGGTGCGATTGTTTGCCTCATACGTGGAATAGGGAGCTGTACTGGGATCCACTATCCAAGTGCATGCGGGTCATTTACACCTGATGAGTCACTACGTATAGGTCGGACGAACGGACAGCAGATTGGAGCAATGCTAACGGCAGAACTATCCCAGAACACTCATTATATATATATATATATATATATATATATATATATATATATGTATTGCAAAAGTCTGCTAACAGAGATAATGCCATCAGAAACCATGGGATTCAAACGAAGGCACAGAAACAGTAAGGGAAAACAACACAACAATATCCGTGGTTTCCTCAGAGGGCAAGATACTACCCGGTTGCCCAAGCCGAAGTAGGGTGTTGACTTAGGGGACACCACCCCGAGCCTTTGGCTGAATAGCCTGTCCGCAAGGCAGCGGAGCGAATTCAGGGAATCACGCTCATTGGGAGACGGTGACTGATTTCTCAGTTCATACGCCTTTCATCTGTTCCTTTGTCAAACAGGGGCCCAATGCTCCCCAGAATTACAGCATAAAGTAGGTGGAATACAGTGCGTCACCAGGAGGAAGCAAGCGGAAGTGACTTTATGTAGTGGCGAGTCAGGTCCGCCACGTCACAGTGTTGGTAAACGGATATATGTGGCTTTTTATGGGGAGAACGCTTGCCAAGCGAATACCCACCACGTAATGGAACACTGCCGCCGAACCATTTGCTGGAACGGGAAAATCCCGAACTACCCAGCTGGCACCACGAGGAGGTTGTTCGGCAAGCCAGCGTGTGAATTCTGAATTCACGAAAGTACCACTCTACTGACCATTTATGAGTAGCTTACTTATTCACAGATTTC